GAGTGCAGAGCTTCGTGACCACAGAGCGTGTGAACGTTGTGATCAGCTGTTTTAGCGCAGTGCTGCTGTACAGGCCGACGTTAACAGCAGCCCTGTCTTTGCACACGGAGACCGACTCCGTCGTCCGGTGATCCAACCGCCTTATGGAAAAGCTTCACATATACATCGGTACGCAAATGCGCTTTGTGACACAAGTGACGGTACGCATTTCAGATTGTTGCCGCGCATGCGTACCTGCGTACCACTTATGTGCACCCCTGCTTATTACAGCTTTTTTTGTTGAACAAGCTTAAATATTTTTAATTTAGAAATGATCTCAAGCAGGTTCAGATATCTGTCAGTCATCCTGAATCACGTTGAAGTGCAGATCTAAGCGTTCTTCTTGACCTTTAAACACGTGTGTGTGTGTGTGTGTGTGTGTGTGTGTGTGTGTGTGTGTGTGTGTGTGTGTGTGTGTGTGTGTGTGTGTGTGTGTGTGTGTGTGTGTGTGTGTGTGTGTGTGTGTGTGTGTGTGTGTGTGTGTGTGTGATGCAGTTGGTGCACTGCATACATTATACATGTATAGTTGTGCAAGAAAGCATGTGTAACTAAGTGGATATTTGAATTGAATATGAGCCACCTCATTATTTATTAGATGTGTTCTCTCTGATCTAAAATTAGCTCGCCACCTGACCAGAACCAAAGGAAAACTGAAAGATCAGACAATTTGATGTGACTTTACTTTTTGACTTCTAGGATTTATTTAGTGGCACAAAAATATTATTACATTCTAAACCCAATCTATCAGAATACTTTAGTTATCTCAGGGGAAATTTGGTTTTGTGACCGTTGCTTCATTTTGAAACAAAGGACAATGACATATTTATATAAACATACACATTTAGAGGAAGATAATATAGAATTAAGTTATTTATAAACACAAAAGAAGTGAACATTTTCAATTTAAAGATAAAATAGAATACAAATATGTATTTAAAGAAGTGATGGTTAAAATGGTCACATTGTACTACAATAACAAACACTTAAAGCATCAGTTTTCAAATGTAAGTTTTACATTTTAACAGCTATTTTAGGTGTCTTTTAGCTTGCGTAACAGCCATAAATATCTAAACACACCCCCTCCTCCCCTCCTGCAGACCGCCCAGGTGTTCAGGATCACGCTCGGATCGAGGCCCTCCAAGACCACCTGTCCGAGACCCTGCAGGCCTACATCCAGCTGCACCACCCAGGAGAACGGCTGCTCTACGCCAGGATGATCCAGAAGCTGGCGGACCTGCGCAGCCTCAACGAGGAGCACTCCAAGCAGTACCGCTCTCTCTCCTTCCAGCCGGAGCACAGCATGCAGCTCACCCCACTGGTGCTGGAGGTGTTCGGCAGCGAGGTCTCCTAGACCCTCTGAGCCCCCTACGGTGGAGAGGAGATAGGAGACCCTCTTAGGGTAGAAATGGAGAGAGAGGGCAGAGGGCGTGCTGGAGCGACTTAATGGAGGTGTGAAGCTAGTGGAAGAGAGAGAGAGGTGTGTGTGTGTGTGTGTGTGTGTGTGTGTGTGTGTGTGTGTGTGTGTGTGGCTGTCTGACGGGCAGACAGCTTGACAGCTTGACAGAGCTCATCTGTGGCAGTCGCCCTCTTGTGTGTTATCAATGACTCCCAAACGGGCTGCCAATCA